AGTTAAAAGAGAATCCCACCTGGTATTACATAGTATTACAGTGGTTTGGGTTTCCCCTTACTTCCATTTATTGGGCCATTGATTTCAAAATAATGGAAGAAATAGGAGGCAAAGGGTATGGGTAGGGAATCAAATGAAATTTCTGACTCAGGCTTCTCAGAGTACTAAAAGGGCCCTGGGGCTTTTCTAAGACCATTAAGTCCAAGGTCTAAAATTACCTGCCTGCAGCATTTATCAACTCTCCCACAGTATAAAAGTTAATGTATGATGAAAACCACTCTTCCCATCAGTTTTCAAAAAGTCATCATTTTTCCTAGTCAGAAAGTGCAGATTAAAAAAAAAGAAGGGGGGAGGGGGAAGAGAAAGCGAGAGAGAGATTAAGAAAAGGGAGAAACAAATATTTGGAATAAGTAAAAGTGTAAAGATGTTGATAGTTGATCCTTAATCCATGACAAATTAAAAACAATAAGCTATTTCATGCACATTTTATTGGTCCCTGTAATATAATTTATCTTACCTTACATTCCTGTACTATATACATTAGCCTTCTCAGATTTTTTTTTCCTGTATTTGAAATTAACAGTTTAAGCTAGATTTTTTTTCCTTGCCTGTAATAACCACAAGCAAAATTAAATAAATGCACAATCATGAATAGGACAATACCAGAAAAATAAGAAAGGACTTTTTAAGTACAGCAGTTTATTAATAGGAAAAAAGGGAAAAATTTGCAAGAAAGTTATTTAAGAAAAACCAGGACTGACACCTTACGTCCTAAAGTACAGGTGGCTGCAACCTCCTTGCTTTCAGAAAGCAACTTAAACTGGTACTGTTCCCATAAGCTTTTGGCCTGTAACTTTGCTTGAGTGACCAGTCTTGGTCAGTTGCATGTTATTATTTTAGTTGATTTGTGTTTATTGTATTACATTTTGAACTACTGTATGATGCCCAGAGTCCATGTGGAATGGGCAGCTTATAAATATTATCAATAAATGAAATATGCATAAATCACACATAAATGATAGTTGCTATGTTATAAAGTGGTCATGTTATAAGAAATTATTCACATTGCTTGCTTTTTCCTTCCAATTTTCTCTCTCAACTTTCGTGAACCCAAACAAGCCTTAATGGTTTTCCATGACCCCATGATTGTTCAGCTATTAAACATTTTATGTCAGTGTTTCCAAATATAATAAATCCAGATGTACTGGATTATAACTATTATGGGCATCATAGCAAAAGGTGCCAACTGAACATTATCTATCAGCAAATGTTTTTATTTTATTTCTGGTCTGTTTTATTTTATTTCTGGTCTGTTTCATGTACATTTTATTGGCATGATTTATCTCCATCCATAGAAGTTCACATATCTACTTAGTTCAACTTTCCTCTTCTTGGTGCCCTCCAAATGCATTGGGTTTATTTCCTATAATCTTCGTCTGATGACCACTGTATGCTTGCTGGGGATTAGATTATAAGTAGAAATCTAAACAACAGAGGGTTGTTTAGGTTGGAGAAGAGAGCCATAGTATGAAAAATTATTTTTTCCCCCTTTCCTTGACAATATGAAGCAGAGACCCGTAGAAACCCCAAATCTGCATGCTTTATTGCTGGCCTGGTAATACAGCAAATAAGATAATAAGGAATGTCAATGTCTACTCAGTCTTTGCTGATAGATAATGTTTCCAAGAGTGCAAGCTTTTCAAAACTATGCTTACCACTTGTAGTTATGACTAACAATGAAGAGAGAACCCATAGTTTAGGTTCAATGTATCATACAGTACATCCACATAGCATGGATGAATGGGAATATAGTGGGCTTCCCAAGTAGCAGAATATTCTGTTGTCTTATCTGAAGAACAAGATGTTGCTCTTCTTGCATTCTACATAGAGAAGCTGACCAGACTGGTAGGTGACTCTTGATTAATAATGGTGATTAAAATACATCCTTCACCTGAAGCTTCTGAAGATAGTAAGAAAACGGCATATGCAGAGTAGAATGTCTTGCTCTAGAAAGATTGGGAAGTGGAAATAATTGTGGTACAGAAGTTTACAATCTCTCTTTTAGAAAGAGATCCATGGCATCTTCCTTTCCTTTGAATATTATCTGAAATATTCCTCACCTACCAGTGAGTCAAATTTGATACTATTTTCAGGACATTGCTGCATTGAAGAAGGAACTGCTTGTAATAGGGTAAATATTTTTCTGAAATTATTTGGGGGATTAAGACTGGACTAAAACTGTAACAGCTGGATTTGTGCCAAGGAAATTCAAGCTCTTTGACTAAGTTGTTATGCAAGGTTTTGTTCTATTTTGTTTTTATAGCTGATATTTATATAGCTGACACCATTTACTGAAATTCTGCTGACAAAAGTGGCAAAGATTCCCTATTCCAATTTCATTTATATTTTCATTTTTTAAAGCAATTTTTAACAATATAATATAATTCCCCCCCCCTTTTAAATTCTCACCCAGTTTAGGGATGAAACAATTCTCTCTGTTTGATTCATTCACTGCTCCTCTGAGTGGATTGTGATCTGAGGATTTCAGAAATTAACAGACACTGAAACATGACCAAAAAAGGAAGGTGGAAATTGTGAGGAGCTTAGAGAACATGAGGAAAAATTGAAGGACTTTAGTATGGTTTGAGGCAATTAAGAGGAAATTTAATAGCTATCTTAAAATATTTGAAAGGCTGTCAAGTAGATGATTGAGGAAATATATTTTATTTTGCTCCATCCAGAGGCATGATACAACAGATTCAAATTACACAAAAATGGATTTTGGTTAAACATTAGAACTCTCTGGCAGTACAAGCTGTTTGACTATAGCCACTGAAATGGGGAGGGTGTTGTTCCTTCTTCATTAGAGGTTTAAAGCAAAGGCTGAATTGCCATCTGTCTAGCTTAATGTTGGATTTTTTGCTTCACTAGGTTGGATGAGATGACCTCCCAATTCTGTAAAGTCTGCCACAGCTTTCAGCAACTTGTTTATTTGTGTCTTACTCACCCCTATGTTAATTATGCACAAATTTATGCTTTGATAAAATGTTGCAAAAAAAAAAAGCTTTATTTTTTCTTATTGCCAAACAGATACACTTCTGCATGCTTAGTAAAAGCACCCCGAAAATGAAATTTGAAACAACCATTTGTTTGTTTATTACATTTCTGGATTGTTCCAGCAGCCATAGATTCTGACCAAGTATTGTTGGTTTTTAAGTAGAGGACAATTCTCCAGGGAAAAAATCTGGAAAAAATCTGGATAAAGATTGACAGAGTGATGGTTTCTAGAATCCTTTCTGAACTTTGTGCTTGTGCAATGTAGTCATGGTGGCAGAAGGTGGTATCATGAATTTCACTATTCTGTAGTCCTTTCTCCCCTTTTGGAATGTTGGGAATTAAGGAATGTGAGAAATTCTTAGGAAAATTTAGTCCCCAGAGCTGCCATTTGAAATAGAAATCTGGTGCAAGAGATTCCCATAGATTATATTAAAAAGTGTTAACACATACATACTATATATTCCTTCTTCTTTCCCTAAGTTCAGACTGCATGACAATGGTTTTTGCCTTGTTCTCCCACCATTCCACAAAAAAAGTCATAAAGCTGTATATAATGGTTCAAAAAACAATCATAGCCATGTTGGTCTATCAGAAAAAAAATGTAGGATTCCCATTAAGGTAATATTTTTGTTACTATTAAATGATGCAGAAGAAGTTGCAGAAGTCTTCATCAAGGCAAGTTGTTACAAGAAGCAGGGAACAAGTAAGAAAGCCCCCAAAAGATGCCATGAGCTGCAGCCACAAGTCTGCAGTACCAATTCAAATGTGACCATTTTGTTTGTCCCTAGATAGTAGCTGAAACCCTGAATCTATTACATCTACCAAACATATTGGTTCTGTCTACAGTTCCAGTCTCAAGATCAAATCTGAGCTGTAGACCCCATGGAGATAATTTCTGGTCTTCTTGCTCCAAGACGTTTTGGAGTTTCTTCCCCATTTTTTGTTTTTGTAACATGTTCCCTGAGGGAGAATTCTGGAATACCTAAAAGTGGTTGACTCTTTTGCACCAGTTTGGTTAGTCATAATAAAGGGATTAGTCACTTATTGATATAATAACTTGAATCTTTGCTACACCTAAGAATTGGATGGACAGATTCTACTGTATTTACAGAAGGAAAGACTCAAGTTAATATCTTGTTCTTACTGTACACAGATCTGCATATGGCCACAATATTTAATATTGTGGTATTATTTAATTATTGAAAGCATACATAGAATTCTATTTACAGGCAGAAAATATTTTTATCTACAAAACTTTCAGAATTAGCAAATGTCAAATGCATTTTTACATAGTTTTATAATATGTGATTTTCCTCTGCCTTACATACGTGGAAAGCAATAAATAGGTCCTATAGAGCAATGGACACTGAAAGAGAGAAAGAAAGAGAGAAAAAAGTACAAAAGCCTTTTCAGAGATAAACAGTAGGTATATAGAGAAAAACATGGCAACATGACAAAATTATAGAGAAACAAAGTGTGAATGTTGTTTTCAGTGATGCATAGATGCTCTTGATTCACATCAAGAAAATCCAACTTTGGTCAATGGTTTCAACTATGAAACAGGAATTCTTCACATCTGAAATGAAGGAAAGTTTCAAGATAGTTTATACTGCAAGTTTATTTTGGCTTTATTATATCAACTAGGCTGATTTTTAGGGTGCAAAAACTAAAATAATTTGCATTATTGATCTATAAGTTCAAAGCTGAATGTTTGAGAAACTTAATTACTGAATACACAATTAATTGCTTGGAAACGTGATACTATTTCACATCGGATACCGGAACATTGGGGACCCTTATTTCTCTCAAAGTCCAGATTCCCTCAGGCTAATCTTGCAGAAGTCACTTATCCACAAAAGGAGGCTAATGGAAACTTCCATAGACAAAAAAGAATGTAGAGGTATCCCTTTTCCTCAGTTGTCATTTTACCCTCTTTTTTTTCCTTCTTAAAAAAAGGGGAAAGATACATCTCTCTGATTCCTTATTGAGAACTTTTGAAATGACCCCGCCCCCAAGTAATAGATTTATAGCACCCATCTCTGAATTATAGCACCCATAACATCTCTCTCATGGAATTCCATAAGAAACTCCCTTGTAGATCACTGATCTTTTGTCAGGGGCACTCTCCCTGCAGAGCAACATCAGATTTTCATGTTATATTTCTTTTCTTAAATGACCTTTATACAATTACAGTAGACCATTTCCAAGGCAGCCCAGCTGCTATCCATAACTGACACTGAGAGTCTGCTCTGTTTTTGATATTCTGAAGGGCAAGCAGAGTCCCCTAAGGTATTTATCCACTTGCCTTCATTGCTTTGGGAACCCATAACAATATTTGCTCCAAACCTTTAAGCTACCTAAAGAAAAGGTTATCCACCTTTTTCAACAAAAAACTACTGATTGCCACTGAAAATGAGAAATATTCATTCAGCGTTTAGCAGATAGAAATAAAATCTTGAGCGTACATGTTGGTTGCCCTGGCATGGGGTGGAATCGTTATGCTGCCGAGTTTTATTCCTTCCTTGAGAAGTCTGCTCTGCTAAGAAAATGAAAATATGCATCGTTTCAGTAAATGTCCAGATATAATCATATTGAAGTTTTTTGTCTTAGCCACAGGCCATTTCAGTTGGTGAAGAAGAGCTATATAAATTAAATCTATTCCAAAAAAAAAAGGATGGCCTACATATTAATCTAGCAGATCCATAATGCACATTAATGCACAATTCAGTAATAAGAACAGGTACTCATTTAAGATTGCAAAAAAAAATAAATAAAAACTAAACCCTTTTGCTTAAATATAAAAATATTCCACATTACTATACAGGAAGAGGCTGGGATATATTCCACCAGTTTGATGACTCCCACCCCGGAAGCAACTTAATCCCAACTTGAAGGGCACACATTGAAATCATTCTTCTAAGCACATTGGGAAGTAGTCCAGTCTTTAGGCTGCTGTTTGATAACCAATGGGAGTACTCACATTGGTTTGAAGGATTCCAAAGGTAATGACATGCCTAAAGGCAAGTCATAGGAGGAAAGGGTCAAGAAACTGAACATGCCTAGCCCAGAAGGAAAATAAAGATTAATGGGGAACAGCAGTGGCTTAAAATATGCAGGAGATGAAAAACAGAATACAAACATTACATTAAAATATAATTATGTAAGACAAAGCCTTCAAAAACTAGTTAGTATCATTAGTCTGTTGAATTATAATTAGAGAATACAGAATCTATGCTTCATAATAAACTGGTTTATTAACAGGGGATGTGGTGGGGGTGGAGGGGGCTGCAGTTCTTTTGCAAGCTCTTAATATGGGCTTGTAAAATCAACCAAGGGAAAATAGAATGGAGTTTGAGTATATACAGTAGCCTCCCCTCAGCCTGGAGCTCCCCCAGGTGTATAGACTTCAACTCCTGGAATTCTCAGCAATGGCCACTCTATCTATGAAATGTTGGGAACCAAAGCTAACATGTGAAGAGTTGCTCTTCCTCCTGAAGAGGACTTTGCCAATTAAATCCAAGTTCTCCTGTACTGAACTATTTTAATCAGTGCAGTCATAATCCTTAGCTATGGTTAAACAGTCTTATTTTACTGTTGCATTCACATCGGATCCCACTGGACTATAATTTTGCTGCCCATCTTTCTTGCATTTCCGTTTTATAAAACGTCTGTTCCCTGGATGC